AAGTGTATAGTAGCGATTAAGATTTCTCTTTAAATATGCATAAATCCATTGCTATTTGAAAGCATTCACAAAATCAAACGTAACAGAAGGTACAGAGAAGCACGGATGAGATACGATTCTACTTTTTCATGTTTTTTTTTTTTTTTTTTTCTCATTCACGTCATACGAGAGCATACTAAGAAGACAAAATAGAACGGAAGTGAAAAAAAAAATATAGATCGATTTTTAAGAAACATAAAACAGTCTTCGTGTTGCATATACATATATATGTATACAGGATAAGTCACATAAGATGTTATAACTTGTTTTCTCTAAAATTACTACATATATCGATATAATTGTTATTTTTAATTACGTGATTTTTAGGATTTAAACTGAAACAAATTTTTTAGATGATTTATTCTTTAGGTTTGAAAAATTTCATACCCTAAATAGGGGAAAAAAATAAATCCTACATAAATTAATAACATATATATTAATAACGTTTTTTTATATTAATGGTTTGAGAATTATTTTATATTAAATGTCCAAAAATTGTCTATTCAATTGCAAAAATATATATATTTATTTTTATAACAATCTAAATCCAAATTTGCATAATTATTATTTTCTTCTTAAAAAATAATTCATATAAATAATAATCGAAAATAATAGTATTAAAAAAAGAAAAATAAAATATTATTTCGAAGAGGGGAATAATTATTTGAATTTCTTCAAAATTATTTACATTATTAAATGATTATGAACTTTCTAATTGAAATAAATAAATAAATAAATTATCTCAATATCTCTAATATTTTTAAATTTTGGAGAAGACAACTTGATAACACATGTGACTCGCACTATACAGGATATCTCTCTATGAAAATTTATTCTACATGGAAAGATAAATCAAAAAAAGGAATAATATTTTTTCATCTGACACTTCGTTTTCGAGAAAATCGAGTTTAAAAATTTATACAAATGTACATAAATTTGATCAATTTTTGATGAGATATAAGTAAATTATTGAAAAAAGATTATTCTACATATGAAAATAAATACAAATATAATAAAAAATACAGAATAAAAATTTTTATTTAAAGATTACTTTTCAAGAAAATCTAATTTGAAATTATTTTTAATCTCGATTATATATATATATATATATATACATATATATATAAAAGAACGAGGACTCAAACGACAAAATGTTATTCTAAATTTTTTACTTATTTTCACATGTAGAATAATCTCTTACCGATAATTGACTCGTATCCAATTGTAAATTTTCAAACTTGATTTATTCGAAGATGAAGCCTTAAACGACTTAAAATTTATAGTCTTTTCTTTCGACTCATTTTTGCATGTAGAATCACCTTCTGCTCGCTTATACCATCTATCCTAAAACATTCTGCATATGCATATACAGTATGTATGTATATGTATAGTGCAATAAACACAATAGACAAAGTGATATAAAGGACAAGAATTTAAAATCAAAAATTCTCCTATACATTTTTGATTATAATTTGAAAATTTTTTGTGTCACGTGCACTTTCTAGAAAAATAAAAGGCAATCTATAAAGAAAAAAGAAAGAAAAGAAAGAAAAACAAGTGAATTAAAATTTAAAAAAAAAAAGAGGGAAAAAAATACGCGCGCGTGCTCGTTTAATATATACATAAATATTGAACATTAAAATAATGAACAGTAATGATTTATGATAATACTTTATTCACCTGTTAATGACTTCTTCTTCCGCTGCTTCTTAGCCTCTAGATAAAAAAACGCATGCAAAACAAAATTGATTAGCAATCTATCTAAAAATGTAATATGCCAGTTATGCCATATTTGTAAATTCTCTTACATTCTTAATCTCTCAATTTCTATCTGTGTATTTTTATCCTCATATATCCTAACGAAATGCTTATTATAAATAAACAGCAAATTATTTCAAACAGAATATTTATTTCTCTCTTATAAATACTAATCCGTATTTTGTTGTATTTGTTGTTAATTATTTATAAAAATATGTTATATAACATTCAAAGGATTTCCCAAATTGTGCAATATACATACACAACAGCGTAAATCATAAAAAAGTATTGGATTTAAATCTATTTAATCCCTTATAAATAGCAATAAGATCGATTCTTGCTATTATATTTAAAAATTAAAATTGTTTATGTTTCTAATTTTTAATATTAATTATTATATAGAAATTATTTTATATTGAATATTATATAGAAATATAACATCTAATAATATATAAAGATAAAAAATGATTTTTCGTTTTTAAGAAAGTTGATCATAAAAATTCAAGTATATACTATTTGACAATTTATATTTTGTGCAATGAAAAAAATAATTACAATAATTGTTTGGTCAATTATTAAAATTATTTTTATTAAAAATTTTTATTTCATATCCTTCGTATTGTAATAATAAATTGTATTCATAATAATTATTATTATACTTTATGAGATGAGAGATCAAATAAATGTCTTTGTCACGAATTTTTCAAATCAATTTTCTCAAAAATAAAGTCTCTTATCGACAAATTATAATTTATATTTTCGATCCATCTTTTCATAAAATTACCTTCCTATCATCCAAATTACTCGTTTCATTTCATTTATTTCATATTCTGTAAAAATTATTTTTAATGATTTATGAAATGAATACATTGATTCATAGTAAGAATTGATCTAAATATAATAATGATAAAAAATATGTTTAACTCATTCAATAGAAAACTTTCATAAATAGACAGACATAAAATAGAGATACTAACATTTACAATTAAATGTAGATTAATTTAAATATTTCAAAAAAAAAGCATGATATGATAAGCTAAGATAATATAATAGTTTCAATTAGCATACAATAATGATAACTAATAAATTATAATATTTAATTTAATGTTTAACTTATAAAAATTTTACTTACTACTTAAATTATTTATTTTATACTAAACTATATAAGAACTTTCTTGTTTTATAATTGTAAATAAATTCTTTTAATATAATAACAATAAAGCTATAAACATATTTGGAAAAAAAAAGAAAAAGAAAGAAAGAAAAAGAAATTGGCAAATGATTTAGAAAATTGTTTAAAATACTGCAAATGCATGCCAAGGAAAATAAAAATATCATAAGTAATTGGAAAATTAAATTCACAATAAAATATTTTCACATCAATCCAAAATAAACTCCATGCGTCTACGTTTCTTTTACGTATTTTGTGCCATGCGCAAAATATAACACCCGCTACTACTTTTGTAAAACAATTATTAGTTAAATCTCTTTTATCTAGACTAAAATTTCTAGCATTTTTTTAAGACAGAAGTAACGAGCTTCGATTAATTTTTTAAAATACTATAGTGACACAAATAAACTTGGTATATTATCATTTTGAAAACAAAATTATTCTTATTATTTCCTTTCTTTCTTTTTTATAACTAAAATAATAATTATATTAAATTTTTTTTTTTAAAATTCTGTTTTCAAAATGATAATTTTAAAATTTATATCATCCCAAAATATTCAAATCTAATCAAATAGATTTACATTGATTGATTTACACTGAAGTCGAATTTACATACCTTTCTTCATTTTCTTGATTTCTTGTTCTTGTTGATCAACAGCAGCACCCAACAAAGTAAAGATAATACCAGCCTGCGAATTAACACCTACTGCAGTAACTAACATTTTTCCAGAACCCTCCATCACATGTGTACCTTTTGAAACATAAATCATTGTAATCGCCATTCTAATATTAATAGTAATTAATTATTAATGTTCGATCTGTTAAACAGAACCCTCACCTGAGAGTACCATGGGATCGAACGATTCTCCTTTTTTAACATGGTCTGACTCTCCGGTTAAACTGGACTCATCCACTTTGAGATCGTTGCTTTGTATAAGGATACCATCTGCTGGCAGCAGGTCTCCATATTTTATCTGAATTATAGATAGATTCCAATTTAAAGAAGACTTTTATATTTTTGGTGAAATAATATTCATTATCAATGAATATAATTTATTAATTTATTTACTAATATAATTTACAAATTGTCATACATGAAGATAAATTCATGAGATATAGTCATTATTTAAAAATATACAAATATATCTATATTAAATTGATTTTATAATGATTCAAATATGGGTTTTTCGAGTTAACCAGAGAATCGTAAATCATAAATGTTTGATTTATTGAACATTGTTTAATTTTAAATATTAGTTTTTGCTAATATAAAATTTAAATATACCTGACATATATCACCAACAACAATATCAGCTACAGAAATCTGTTTGACTTCTCCTTGTCTAATGACAGAAAATTTATGTTCCCCCTCTATACGACTTTGGAGGCCCCTAAATTGTTTTTCCTTAGAGTAATCATTGGAAGCTGTTACTATTACCACCAAGATCACAGAAATAAATATAGCAGCTCCTTCTATCCAACCATATTTTGCTTCATCTTCATCTATTAAAGCTGAAAAAGTTTAAAAAAATTTTTTTTATTTTTTCTATGTTTAATATACTTATTAAATTATTATCTAATATTATATATAATAAAAAATAATAATTAAAAAGATTTTGAAATATATACTTACGTTTTTCTTCATCATCTGCTGGGTGATAAAAGCTAAGACCTAATGAAACCAATGCTGCTACTTCCAAGATAATTAATGTAACATCTTGAAGAGCTTCCCACACTAATTGTAGAAATGTTTTTGGTGGTTTTGGAGGTATTAGGTTGGAACCAAATGTATCTCGTCTATGTTGAATATCAGCTGCTGATCCACTGAGACCTATAACAAAAGTTTATATATAAATATTTTAATCAAATACTTCTGAATTATTAAAAAATTTAAAAAAACTTACCTTCACTAGGTGAAGTATATAATTTTTTACAAATCTCCTGCACACCACCATAGCTATTGACTTTAGTGACACCTTCACGTCCTCGGAGCTCCATGAGCTCACGAAGTTGCTTAAGACTGATACCATATTGGGTTGGTCTGCCATCTATTGTTGCCATTTTGTTTTTTCCACCGACGTTGGCTTAAGCCAACTTTACTATACTTCTTCACGCTAGCAGCTCGTATTATTTTTTGGTGTCACTGACACCACTGGTCTCCAGGAAATTGGAGGACCAATAGCTACAACAAAGAAATAAACTATCTTGAAATTTTATTCCACTGTAAATTTTTTTATATCTTTAATTGTCATTTTTAAATTGGAATTGGATTGAATTTTATTATTTTGTTATATGAAGATTGATAAAAAAAAACTAATTAACATATAATAACATATGAGTTATAATTATTTATAGAGATGTATTATGTCATATTATGTATTATCATAATTATATTAGTACATTTTAAAAAATTATTTAATTTTAAAAAAATTAGATTAAAAAAGTTAATATTATACTATCATTAGTATGTAAAAGATCTATATATAGAATATAAAAAATCTATGATTTATACAAATAATAATTAACAAAACTTCATGAAAAAATTATCCATACATGATAATAATTTTAATTATAAATAATTAATATAAAAAACTAAAACTAAAAAAACTAAAATAAACTAAAAAAAAATTTTTGAAATATATACATACAATAATGCAATATTTTATATACAATATTTTGCACAATTTCGATGTCAAAAAGATGCTTAAAAAAAATAATTCTTTTAGCTTTTAGCTTGAAAATCATATGATATTAGAAATATGATATTAAATATATGATATTAGAAAATTTCTGAAAAGTTGTATAGGAAATTGAAATCAATAAATTCAAACATTATCGATTGATACGTATTAAAATTGAAAAAAAAAACTCATCTAATAGAATAATAATAAAGTATATAATTAAAAAGAAGTAAAAATTTATGATAAATGATCTTATCTGGACTGTCATCGAATGCCGACATAGTTTTGAGGTTATGTACCTCAACAAATGAATCATTACTTAGAGATGATAGACGACAATAAAAGTGCTAGACATTCTCTTCCGAAATGATGTCACAATGAAGAAACAGTGTAACGGGACAGACCAATTGAACGAACATTGACGATATAGTCTGTCTAAAAATAACACCGACCACGGAAAAGAAACAGAGCGATGACAGAGACATAAGGAGAAACACAGAAAGAGAGAACACCCCGTTTACCTTCTGGTGACAGTTTACGTGTTGATGCCGAGAACGGATTACAAATTGGCATACAAACCAACCTCCCTTTATTGATATGGACCACGAAGCTTCATTCTTTCCTGTCAATCTCTAACGTGCAAAACCTTGAATCGCACCACACCACTCTAGGCACCGATTTTGCTCACCACGGAAAGGCGTGTTAAGTGAAATAAGCCATTAGCAATATAGTAATCGATTCGTGTTGCCCTCTAGTTACTCGTACACGTACTGCGCAAAGTTTCACTATTTTCTTTCGGTTTCACTTGCGGTTCGATGCTAGATAAATCAATGTTACAAAAAAAAAAAAACAATTAACATTATTATAAATTGTAATTATAAAATTTAATGAAACTTAATTTATAAAACAAATATATATATCTTTAAAATATTATCTTTAAAATTTAAATAGAAAAATTTTTTCATGGATCAGCTATTTTCAAAAAGAATATTAAATATTTGCAATTATCTAAAAATGTTTAAATCTTTATTCAAATTTTTTAATAAATAATCTAATAATCTAATAAAAAATTACTTTAATATAATA